CAAACGCCAATAACTCCTTTCGTGCGTCGTGAATTGAATGCACGGTGGACATCTTCTTACGACAGTACTCGACCGCTTGCCAGTCCACGTCGTCGTGTTGCTCGAGGACAACACCAATGCCATAGCCGGACGCATCGGTAATGATGCGAGTCGGCAAAGGTGGGTCATAGATGCATAAAACCTCGGCGGATAGCAAGGCGGCTTTGAGGGCCGAAAAGGAAGCCCGCGCATCATCTCCGAAGTCGAACGACCGATCCTTGTATTGAAGCTTGATCAAATTAGCCGCGATCTTCGAATAGCCTTTGATAAATCGTTAATAGTAGCCGACTAGGCCAAAAAACGAATGGACATCTGTAACGTTCTTTAGCTCCGACCACTCTTAGATGACTTGAATCTTGTCCGATAATGGATTAATGCCTTCCGGTGTGACAAAATGACCGAAATAACTCTTGACGCACGAATTCACACTTGTCGCGGTTGACTTTGTACTTGGCGCGACGGACTTTCTTCAACACACGTCGAAGATGCTCGAGATGGTTTTTCAAGGTCCGTTTATAGACGAGAATGGCATCGAAGTAGACCAGCACAAACCGGTCCAGCATCGCACGAAACTCGTTGGTCACTGCCGCTTGAGAGGTCGTCGGGGCATTGGTGAGGCCAGAAGGCATGACAACCCACTCAAAATGCTCATACCACGTCTTAAACGTGGATTTGTAGCGATCTTGCGGGCGTATCGAAATCTTCTGATAGCCCAACTTCAAGTCCAATTTCGAATAGTACTTCACGCCGCCCAAACACTCAAGAAGATCGTCAATACGAGGAAGTGGCCACATATTCTTGACGGTTTGCGCGTTGAGCTTGCGATGGTCAATGCACAAGCGAAGATCCTTGTTCTTCTTTCGTACGAAGACAATTGGCGTACCATATGGTTAGGTACTAGGGAGGATCCAACCCTTGTCCAACCCTTGTCCAACAAGTCATCGAGCTGCGTGCGGAGAACTGCGAGCTCTTCCTCGCTCATGCAATAGATGCAACCTTTTGGCGGCACGACAGTGGCGTCAAGGATGATCTCATGGGAGATCGGCGGATCCGGCACCACGCCGGTAGGAGACTCGAAGACGTCGCCGAACTCGTCAAGCAACCATACCACGCAGAGGTCCGAAGACAAACCCGTAGGTGAAGTTTCGGTCTCCGCGACGGTCCGAAGAAAACAAAGACCTATCTTGTCGGTCCGCTCGTAAGCACAATTGGACGGAAAAGACTTGGCCGTCACAACTTGGCACCAGATCGAAGGGTGCAAAAGAGGAATAGTGTAAGTGTCCGCCGATGGAAGTTGACCGTGTGGTCAGCACTTGCGAGCCAAGGCATCCCCAAAATGATGTCGAAGTCTGTGTCTAAGACGTCAAACATGACCGTCCACATGCATGTGGTGCGAAATAAACTGATACTGCTTCGATGTAGCGATCCAGAAGTTGTTGCTTTCGACCGTCCGCCATCTTGACCGCCGTAGAATGTGGCTTCTTCCGAACTTGTGCGCCAAGGTCGGGCCCTTGAATAAAGGACTGGCTCATGAAGAACCACTTGAAGACGACGAAATGTCGCCGCTTCCGGATGGAGATGAAATTGCGCACACACCTTGTCCTTGAGCTAGAGAACCTAGCGATGGAACAAGCCGGGCAGCATAGTCCTCAATAGAATAAACAAGATGATTTACGACTTCCGCATATGCCTCGTCCCACCCCTACGCGCCACCATCCAACTTCCAGCGTTCCCACACAGTCTTCCCGTTTGCCAACCATTCCAATCATCCACCCCACTCGCCCATACCCCTGATCAAACCCCAAAAAACACCGGCAAGAAAAGAAGAGGGGAGGGTGGGGAAAGGGGGGAAAAGACGGCCCCTTCTCACTTACTCAATGAGTATCACTGTCAATATCTTTGTTGTTTTTATTATCACCGGCTGTGTTGTTTTTAATAATATCGTTGTTGCATTCACTGTGATTCCCAGTCGTGTTGTCGCCGGCTGAATTGATGTTGTCATCGTTGTTGTTGAGATCATCGTCGTTTCCTGGCGCGCACAAGTTGAAAAACCATCCTCCCATTCCACCGTCACGCACAGTATGGTTGTTGCTGTTGTTTTTTGCGCCCTGCGCCACAGACAACATAAGTTCATCATCGATATTTCCGTTGTAATTGTTGTCATTGTTGTTGTTAACATTTCTGATGTCATCGATGTTGTTGTCGGTTTTATTGTCTTCGTCTTCCCCACACCAATCACCATCAACAGCGGTGCAATTGTCGTTGTTGTTGTTGTTGTTGTTGTTGTTGTTACCCCCAAACGAGCGCTCCTCCACTTCGCCGCAAGAACCCTGCACTTCCTCAAGCTCCCCGCGGCAAGTTACAACCTCCTTGTTAACGGAAGTAACTGAAACACAAGCGGCGTCATCTTCATACGAACAATCCTTCGACGTGGCACAAAGCACCTGCCCCTCCTCAGGCCCCACGCAGCAACGCCCTTTCAAATCATCACGCCTTGTCTTCACATGCAGCCCCTCCCAGAGGTCAACGAAGATTCCTCTCACTTTCCTTACCATTTCCGTACACTCGCACAGCGCCGCCATCACTTGTGCTTCTTCAGTAGTGCCCAACCGTTGAAAAGGGAGATTTGCATGGAGCTCCTCCTCCCATCCGATGAACAACTCCTCACCCTCCTCCAGGAGTTCCGCTGGTAGACTGTGACGATGTTGAGTCAGCACGGCATAGATGTCGTCCATYTGTCGCTTATACATCCGCACCATCTCCAGCGTCGCTCCCTCCTCTTCAAACAAGGCAACAGCAACAGCGTCCTGCATGGTCGCCGCCTCCATCGCCATCGCTGTTGTCGATGTAGTCGTGGTTGATGCCGTTGTTGTCATCATTCTTGATATTGTCGTGTCTTGTTATGTTGTTGAAGCTGCCCCTCAAACGACGGCACTGCCTCTTCAATCTATGCTTGACTTCCTCACGCCGACGTGCCGTCTCCTTAAGATGCCACGTGGGAAAACCCCACCTACGCCCGGGCCGAAGCGCCGGACGGGCACCAGGACAACCAAGCGCAGCGATGGCGCTGACCACCTCTGCCCTAGTCCGCGGAGTGCAGCCGGGCCTTGCCGACCGGTCCGCGGCACAAGTTAGCGCTGTCCTGCGAGAGTGCGGGTCGCCCTCCCATCGTGCTCTTTTTTTTTTTTTTTTTTTGTGTGTGTGTGTGACCCGATGGGTCACGAATCAGATATTAAACTGATCAGAACAGATACTACACTTGATCTTAGCCAAAAGGCCTTTGGGGCCACGTGGTAATGGTAATGTATGGCTTATTGATTTGCCATGTGGATTTGGTAAACTAATATGGCAACCTAATCCTTGTGCGGCTCTTTAGAATACAGGATTTCGCCATGTGGCAGGGCAGATGGCGCATCAGGGATAGGCATCACGACTGCCTATGCGAATCGTTGTGTTCTGCCACGTGGCTGTTTTGCTAGGATTTTTCTACTTCCCCTTCAATGAAGAATCCACATGTATTCGTGCCCTCTCTGATTACTCCTCCTCTTGCTTGATAAGCCTTTTAGGGTAGGCATAGATCCTGCGTCTCGAAGGGCGGTTGTATCAATTGGTCCTCTATTCTCCCTACTGCTGATTGCCTCTCCTCCTCATGGTATGGTAAGGATTTATGTGGCAGATGACGAGGAACTCAGAGTAGGGATATGACTTTGGATTACGATGGGCAGTTAATCCCCTCAGTTGAGGGCAATCAATGCTGCTCATCAGTTACTTGGTGTGCTTGTGTGTCGCTTTGGATGACCACTTAGATGACCACTCTCTTTCAGTAGGAAGGACACGTGGCATGCCTACACCAGTTTGAAATGTTCTCATAACAATCATTTTTACATGTCAAATGACGCTGGACCCGCTTTCCAGCAGGTGCTGCTCCCCACCAATAGATGTGGTGTCTGCTCTTATCAGCACCTCTAGCATTCACTTGGGTTGTTTTCGGGAAAAAAAAAAAAGAAAAAAAAAAGAAAAAAGAAAGTAAGGGAGGTCGCTCGCGAAGCAACCGGTTCCGAAGGCATCGAGAGTGCCGCCGTATCACTCTCGGCGGTGCTCACTTTCCTGGGAGGGACTTTTCCTTGGCTTTCGTGGGACAGCTTGCCGTTTCGTGTGCATCGCTGTTGCACGACAAACAATATCGGTACCTGGTGCGTATCTTGTAGACCCGATATGCCAAATTGGAGCCAAGGTTCTCGAGATGCTGTTCTGGACCCGGGGGATGAAGAGGTGTTTGTCTTCGATTTGCTGCGTCCTCGACCCTTGGTTGGGCGGCCACCATCCCGCTACTAACGTATTTCCCTCGGCTGACGAAGCAGCCTCGTTAGAATTGGTCGGCGTTGTTGCTGCGACCACGACCACTTTCAATCGATGCTGATCTCTGCTCTGGCCTGCAGAAGACGAACGACCAGCATTGCGGGCTTCGGTGTTCGTCACGATGATCTGCGAGGCCTTGTTGAATAATAATTCACTCGTAGTGAGTGTCTCCGCGACTTGCGTTAGGGCATTTTGCAATATCGGACATGACCTTGTAATGAAGTAGTGTTTCACGCCTGTGAAATGGATCGGCAAGTCGGGCTCGGATGCCGGCGATACAATCTGTGCTCGGCAAGGCGTTCTGATGGAACTTCTGCAATTTCTCCATCGCCTGAAGCTCGGGCGGTTCCACTTGGAATCGCGTGTGCCATGCTGCCGTGAGATCAGCCCAACTGATCTTTGTGTGCAGCTCAGAGATGTCGACCTTGTGTGTGGACAGCATGTTGTCAAGCTATGCTTGACACATGCCTCCCGACCGGTGGTAGAGGCAGGCATGCCGTTTGGTGTCGCTCACGTTGGACATGTGCAACCACAATGTGAATTGCAGCCATCACGGTATTGGATCGGTCTTCGATGCGTCACAGAAGACCGGAATGCCATCAAACTTGGGTATGCATTCAGAGGATGACAAGGCTGGACTCGCGGCTGCTGCACGGATCTGCTGCTCCAAGTGCTGATTGGTTGACTAGAGTTGCTGATTTGTTGCCTGCTGCTGCTTAGCACCATCTTTGAGAGTGCCGATGTCAATCTCCAAAGCGTTGACGCGATCCGGAATATTGGAGAGGCCAACGACTATTGCTGAAATGGGCCGCTGTTCCAAGGTGTGGACATGGGCGGTCAATGTCTGCACGTTGTTGTCCAGTGCTTGCTGGGCCATGCAGGTGGCCACCAGGTCCACGATTCGCTTGATGACCTTGCAGAACTTCCGCACGGTCTCGGAGGCACCTTCCTCCTCGGTCGACATGTCCATTTCAGAAGCCAAGGTCAAGACTTCGGCCTCCTCCTCGAATAACACGTCCTGGCGTGTTTGTCGTGCTTCATCTGCAGCCTGGTGTGCTGTGTCCCCGTTCGCTTGCTGCTGTAAGATGGCAAGACGATGTTTCTCCTCGATTTCTCTTTCTCTCTTCTCTCGAGCGTCAAGTGCCGCATCTGCTCGTTGCTTAAGCTCGAGCATCACGCCAGCCAGCCGGGCCTCGTTGTCTGCCCCGGATTCATTGTCCTTTCGTTCCATCGTGTTGGTCACTGACCAAAGGATGGGAGGCATGTGTGGCTGGTACTGACGTGGGACAGGCCTGCTGACGTGGCCTGGTTGGGCTGATGACGTGTCTGCTGACATAGCACGGATGTCTGCTGACATGTTGCTGATGTGGCCTGCTGACGTGTCACTGTTGATGTGGCCTGCTGACGTGTCGCTGCTGACATGGCCTGCTGACATGAATATGGACGAAGCACAGAAATCCAGAATGCAAAATCACACTGAAGTCCAASTAGTCWAAGCCAGAGCAGATAGCACAATGGAACCGAGTAACCATCCAATTGAGAATGATACAGAAGAATCGTGAGTCAATGTCCATGCCCAACAGGGCAACACCAACAGCATAACCCAATGTAGCTCTCTCTTATGAATGGCGCCAGGCGCCCTATCTACTCTACAGACTAAGCCTACAACTACAACCATGAAAGCAACCAGACAACTTGACTACTAGCGAGTGATGATGTCAACACCAATGCCGACCTCCACCTCCACCAGGTACGTGTCCTCTTCACCGACACTCTCCCTTGTTACCCACACAGCGCCCTTCACCTCCGAAGAACCACCTTCACCCTCACCTCCCCTGCGCCCTATGCAGCCCGGCTATGGCCTCCAAGCGCCCAGTACACAGGCAGCGCCCTACCACCTAACGCTAGCCTGCCTCATCCCAGCGCAGCGCAGCTCTGCACAGCGCAGCACCTCGCATTAGCGCAGCGTGCCCGCAATGCCTGCATTGGCCAAGATCCYTGCCCACTCGCCCTGCTTGYCTATATGCCAGTGTTGCGTGTGGGCGGCCTCCCTTCAGCCTGCGACTGGGCCTCAGTGCCTGAGCCCAGGCCCGATACAGTTGAGGCCCAGGATGCAGTT